ACAGGACGGGGTGGCCGCAGGCGTGGCAGGTCTCGGGCAAGAACTTTGGCCCATATGGATTTTTCGCGGTAATTTTGGCATCGATAGGAGTTCCCATGGCTTGAAAGCATAACGAGTGGTCATCAGTAGCCAGCAATAAACGCTCTTTCTCTTGGATGTTTCCTGGATCGACGGGACTAATGCAAATGTGTATGCCTGATCCGGCCTGTGGCTGATTGTTTCCATGTCGAACATGAGTCGGGGAAAAAGCCATGTGGTAGCGTCTGAGGGTATCCTCAATAGTGCAGGCCTTTTCCCAGCAGTCCACGACCTGTCAAGTCGGCCTTGTACCGATAAAGCAGTGCCAAAGGACCGGTGTCGGGCAAATTGGCCCTCTGGATGCTAGGTGAGACCGATTGAAACTCCTACTAACGGCCAGGAGCAGCAGGCCAGCAGCTCGCCACGCTGTGGCAACGACCAGGAAAGGGCATGCGTGCAGGCACTGGGGGTGTGGCCCTGCATGGGCAACGATCGTGATCGTGCTCCTGGCCCTACGATTGTGGAGTGTGTAGGTCTTGATTGGACAGACAAGAGCTACTCCAATACCGCAAAGACAGCCAATGCCATGGGCCCAGGTTCGCGGGTAAGCGGGGTTCTGGAATCGGATGTCGTCTACCAAGTCGGAAATAGGCGGCGTCGTTGTCAGCAGGCCGGGGTCAGCGCATCCCGTTGCGACTCGAGCGCAAAACGGACATCAGCGGTCAACGGGCGCCTGCATTGGCCCGACTCGAGCCTTGCGAATGGGTAACCAAATCGCCAGTGAAACCACAACCAACATTCGTTGGCGGGCACTACCTAAGACGAGTTGGTGGTAATAGTAGGTAGCAGGCGAAGGATCCCAAGTCATGCCGGCAAGCTAGCAGAGCCAGGGTCTTTCGCATGGGAACCATGAATTGCACAGCCAGTTGTCGTTGTCGTCTACCAATACGGGCTGAGGCTGGTACCGGATTCGACAAGTTTGTACGACTCGAGCTTAGTTGGACTGGCCCGGCTGGGTGATCTCATCAGAACACTTGCAGCGGAAGCTCGGGGGGTGGTGTACCTCGTGGCGCAGGGTTGAAGGGTGAAGCAAGTCATTCGATGGCATGACTATGATGTTGGAAGTCGTCCTGCCGATGGGATATGCTCAATCGCCAAGATGTGATTGGAGATGGCCGACCAGTAAACGATTCCGTCTGCTCACGAGAGAAACTAACTTTGCCTCCGAGGCTACCGCTTTTCTTTTCTTTCTTGGATGTTGTCGACAAGGTCAAGGTCATGCTGATGCTCGTTAGCTTGCTGGCTCCTCACGCAGCTGCATGGTATGCGAGAGATGATCCGAGGTTGCTGGTGTGGCTAACAAGTCATGTATTGTGACAGGTCGCCTGCCTGATGCTGTTGCTAGAGGAGATAGATGGCAAGGCAAGGAGGGCATGGAAGACGATTCGGAGCCAATACGGGTTTGCGTTGACCGTTTCGACGTCAGGCATTGATGTTGGTGTTGGATTGGAGTTGGAGTTGGGCAGTGGACAAGAAAGAACTGCACTGCATCTGTGGATGACAGAAATACAACAAGACGACAAGGATAGGTATGTTGGCACGGAAGGTGCCAAGCTCATTCCTCAGAATGCTTGCCATGCGCGGCCTCAGGTACTACTGTCTTAAACCCGTATCCTTTTGGGAAACTGCCAGTAAGCCGTGCTGCCTTCCATTGCTATGCTAACGTCTCCGTCTCGGTCTCGCTTGCCCATGTAGAATTGGAGATTGGAGATATCAAGGGGCAAATTGTATTCGTGGACCAGAGACAGGCAAGCACTATGCATTGTGAGTGAGACCTGCCTACCACCGGCCTTCTAAATCAGGAAACCCAATTTGAGATCTGAGGAGGCGCTCGCAGGACTTTGACAATGCATATCATGAAACGAAATGAATCGTCTTGAGCATAGAAAGTAGAGCGACTCACGATAGTAAGGGCGGCCATCTAGTCATGCCAAGACATGATGTTCATGAACAGCACAGACTAAAGCAAGCCGATCGTGAGCGACTTAGGTAAGGCGACTAGCGATATGTCACTCGATGCGCTAGGTGGCCAGATAGGTATCTGGACTCTGGAGAAGGGGGCCAAGGGTCATTTGGGGGTCTTGGGGGCTGTTTTTCACTCAAGGCGGTAACATGGTCACGGTAACACCAACAGGGATATGGGAACACCGACGGGTGCTAATGCAGTGAAGGAGGAGAGGCCTCACCAGCAACAATAGCGTGAATAGCTAGGTAATGTGGTAATGCGCTCATTTCGATGGCTCAGTCAGAAAAGTCAGCCTGTTTCAATAGCGGTCGTGGCCTCTGGTAGGTAGGTATCAGTGACGCTGTAACGGCATCGCCTTAAGCGCCACAGCCAAGCGCCAGTCCGTTTTCAAGCTGGTTCATGTCTCAACTGACATCGTCAACAGCGAGGGAGCAAGGATGCTGTAGAAGAACCCAAGTGCGGCTTGGATAGCTCCGCAAGATATGCTGCAAATCGACTCGCGCGAGCTGGTAACCACCCACCATCAGCCGGCAGGCAGAAACCGAACAGGGAAGGGGGTTGCAAGGGCAGGCAGGTAAAGCCGAGGATGAGGGAGGAGTCAGGAGCCTGGTCCGGTGGAGGGTGGTGGACGAGGTGGACTGGACAGTCCGGACTGCAGGACTGAACTATCAGAGAAGGACATGGTGTAGGATTTGGTGGTGTTGTTGCTGGTGGCTTGTTTCAACGTTTGGGCGTACATGCTGTGGTAGCTGGAGATGGACGGCACACACCAAGAAACGACGAGACGGAACGGTGGGACTGTGGAGTTGTGGTGACACAGACCACATGCGGCCGGGTGGGGTCGGCAACCCGGATCCGCAATGTCACCGGAGCTCTCAATTGGACCGAGATTCTTGGACCTCCCCCCTTCCAAGTACTCCGTACCTTTACCACCAAGTCTCTCATTTCCATTTCCCACACACAACTTTTCTAATATTACACCTTGACCGCACACGGCAAACGCAACCATCCCTAGACCCCCGAAACCCGCCCTTTCGGTTGCGACTTGATATCCCTTTTCCGTCAAATACGTACCCCCTCCCGTACCATCTTCTCACCCCTGCGCGCATCCCGTCTGATCTGGGCGCGACCGTTAGAAAATGGTCCCACACCAGGTATCCGCCTTTCCGTAAGTACCTTCACATCAAAGGTACCGAACCCAGACATCGTCGAATGTTTGGGATAATATCTGGTACACAACAGCAAAACCAGGACCCTGGGTGGCGGCCAAGCATCCAAACACACACTTGAATCGCGATAAGGTCAGGTGGGCTGCCAAGATGCGGTGAACTCTCTCCAGTACAGGCAGACAGACAGCCATGTCAGCACGCATCGTGGCTGTGATAGATCATAAGGGGAAAGAAGGGGGGGGCGGGCGCACGCGACGACTACTACAGCTATTATGCGGCACAAGGCAGAGGCAGAGGCAGAGGCAGAGGCGAGGTGAGGTGAGATGCGACGACCAGCAGCCACTTGACGCTATCGATGACGGCAACGTCGTTTTCGGCTCTATACGAGGCGTCCTTCACAATGCTGTCACTACCTCTAGTAGCTAGCTGTCTACGTGTACGCGATGAATGCAATACGCCATACATCTACAGAGTCTAGAGTCTACAGTCTCATAGATGACTGACATGACTCTTTCCCCACGGACTTGTCCGAACTCCGACTCATTCATCGTCCTTGACAATCAATCTCATCTGATGTCAAACCCTACGCACATCTACAGACTATCCCCTCCTCCACACCAGCCTATGACATCCTATCCCGCCCCAACCTTTGACAAAAAAAGGGCTCTCCACCTTTTTCGTCGTCTACACCTACCTTCACTTTATTACCCAGCTGATGCTTGTCCGCCTCTTTCGATCGACCGCTCCTTATTCTTCTCCCCCCACCTGACTAATCTGATTCCCCATTGACATTGGAAGCTTGGGCGTAGCACCTCTTCACATTGCGTGTATAACGTGGTGGCGGCGGCGACAAGGCAAGCGATATGCGAGACCGTTTATCCTGCGTCCACATTGGTCTTTTCCCCTCCCTTCCCCGTCCCGACTCTCGCCCCCGGAGGTACAGGTCGATTTTATCGGCCCGGAGCATATGGCCCGAGGCACCTCGATCGGAAAGGAAGAGGCCATTCTTCGGTTTCCGACGGTTACGGGGTTCTCGTTGTACCTATTCGGGCTTGCTGGCTACTGTATACTGGTGGTGCTCGTACTGATGCGCCTCAAGTCATGTCATCCTCCCTTTCGGGCCAGTTTCCCCTCTTTCACATGGGGGCTCGCCTAGATACAAGATATCGGTTAAATTGAGGTAGGCGGCAAAGAACCAATATGCCCGAATGCTCGTATTACATGTAGCCTCGTCAATGTTCAGTAAACAGACCCGCGTTCGTTGGCACGTAGGTAAGCAGTAGTGTTGAGGTTTCCATGGGTCGGAAGAGTTGCGCATACGCCTTCATTGGTTCTGTTAACGAGGGTGGGGGCGACGACGAACGTATGGTCAAGGGAGGGAGGAAGGGAATGAGCATCATCTAAGCAATGTACAAGTCTATAGGTAGGCGTGGGAGGGAGGCAAAAAGAAAACCAATATCCCAGAGCTGGCTTCTCATGTATGTTGACGGAGTCGGTACGTGCGTACCAGGTACGTATGTACCTCATATGCGTTGGTTGACCTGCAGAAGGTCCCTCCCTCTCCAGCAGTGACAGATAGCCCGATGCTAAGTCGTCAGAACTCCCTCTCGCCAGAAGCCCGACGGAGTTTCAATGCCGTCCACTAACGTGCCACCAATTTCCCCTTTCCTACCCCTTCCTTACCTACCAGAAAACCCAAAATCTGCAGCACAGCCTCAGCCGGGCCGCGACACAAAGCCGTCCACTCATATCGCCCGGCTTCAACCCCGGCGAGTGGCATTGGCGGTGGGATGAACGTTTATAGGCCACTCGTCTAGCTTAACTTCACTTTGGGGGTGGGAACGAAATGCCGCGCTCGTGTCATGATGGTGCATATCGCAAGAAAAAAGTTGTATTTCAAGACAAGACACAGGCGGTGAAAGGGCCTGGACCGCAACATGACGTGAAACCAGAAATATTTTTTTTCCTCTTTAAAACATTACTCGTGTGTGTTCGTTTCGCTCCTCTCCCTCTTACCGCTACAACAAGGCAGCCAAACTCATACCAAACATGACGACGACCACCGCCCACGTGCTCGGTGGCGCCAAAGAACCTGCTGCGTTGCCCAGCCCGAATGGCAGGCCCTGCGTCTTGAAAGTGACGTTCTGCGGGATGGTGGCATTATAACACTGCCCATTTACAATGTCCAGGTTTGTCAAGTCATCCGGCACTCTGAAGAACATGTAGTTGTTCTGAGGGATATCTTTGAAGCCCTCGGTGTTGTAGGGGAACTTGTTGCCAGAGTCGGTGGCACTGGTGTTTCGCAAGAAGATGCACTGGACCTGGCCCGGGTAGTCCTTGTACAACGCGGGATACGCCTTCATGACATCGGAGTTGGTCGTGTCGGCTACCAGGACGAACTTTCGCTGCGGGAAAGTCTGGAAGATCTTGTCAAGCAGGAATCTTCGGATGGACAGCGTCGCTGAGACATCAGAGAAGTTGAGAGGACGAGTGTCGAAGCTGCCCAGGGGATACGTCTTGTAGATGAACTCCATGTAGTTGCGCGTGACCTGCTCAGGGGTCGTAGTCAAGTAGTGGAAGTGGAAGTCGGGGATGGATGCCGACCAGTTGGCGTAGATTTGGGGCATGTTCTCCCACTGGGTGAAGGGGCGCGCAAAGGAGTTGAGCAGGCCCTCTTTGGGCTCGTAGATCTTGGTGACGCGGAGAATGTCATCAATGTCGGAGATGATGGTGAAGCCTGTGGGAGGGACGAGGTAGGCTGTCGCGTTGCCCGTCAACGTGCCGTTGGCGTACATGTTGAGAGTCTGGATTGACGATGTGGCATTGCCTGGCAACATATGGCCGCCCGTCGAGCCTGTGGTGTTGCGCAACTTGACAAACGCGTCAAAGTCACCTTCGGCCGTTGTCAAGTAGGGCAAATTGATCGATTGTGCGCCGCCACGAGCATTGACGGCTCCTCCGCTGGCACCAGGTCTCACGGAGACGTCGTTAACGAAGTTCATGGTAACGTTTTGGTCATCTTGCTGGACGACGAAAATGGACTCGGTGACATTGCGTGCCTGGGCTTGTTGATCGGCAGGCAGGTCTTTGATGTCGACATCGATGAGGAAAACATTGGCCAAGTCATCGACCTTGGACTGGCTAATATTGGGCTGCTTGAAGACGTTGCCGTGAATGCGGACATTCCATCCTTCGTCGGTCCAGTTTCCGTAGGCCCTGCAAAACCATAATTAGCTTGTGAAAACAAACACGGCGACAAGTTGTTGGTACTCACGGCAGATTCAAGATCTGGGTAGGCTTTGCATCCAGGTCACCATCGCTGATGCCGAGAGAACTGAGGACCGCGGTGCCAGTTGGGAAGCCCTGGAAGAATGCAGGAATGCCAGAAGCTACCCAGGAGGAAGCATCACCGATGATACTGTGGACATAGCTGTCGATGTCGTCCGTCAAGCTAGGCTCTCTTTTCACGCGCGTCGGCGGGGGTGTGATCATTGGGTGGGCGGGATCGACCGGTGCAGGTGCAGCCAGAACGGCTGGGAGGAGCGCCAGAGGCAGCAGAGCTGCACGAAACAGGGCCATGGCGGGATTGGATTGTGTGGTTTGCGATGTGGTGATGACCGCGTTTGGTAAGGTAGCGACGATGATGTCAGTCCCGAGCGGTGACAGCAGCTAGAGATGCAACAATGGCAACGATAATCACAGAAGAATAACTCGAGGCACCAGCCCAGAACCAACACAATCGACTACTCCGTACTGAGGTTGTTCGGAAGAAACGGCTGTGGCGCGGAGAAGAGAAAGAAAGAATGGGTGGGAGAATGTTGAGATCGGCGGTCGTTGTCTCCCACCTAGACTCTTTGGGCGTGATGACCGTGCTTACCCCTGCTTAATTAAGATAGACCGCACTCCATAGTTAGCAGGTGGCAGCCCATTGTTTCTCTTGTCCCAGATTCCCAGTTGCCCTGAGTTGGCTGTGAGATGAAGCCTGTTCTGGTTAGCTTGCAGATTATGACGTCGAGTGGCTGGGAAGAGCATAGTCCGGGATTGACACATTGGTGGGTTTCAGATCTACAATGGGGCAGCGAATCAAGCTTCTTAAGTGGGGCTATAAGCACATGCTCTAGCGAATAGCTTCGCGTAACCTGCGATTACTGCAGCTCAGAGCCACAGCCGAAATGGCACTGAACAATTGGGATGCCCCTTGGTCTTGAGGTCAGATAAAATGCTTCTCTTCAGTGCACTGCGTCTGTTTCAAGGATAGTCCGTGAAGCCTCTGCTATGATATTTCAAAAATTTCTCAAATCGGGTCTGGACGCCGTGGTCTAGATCAATCTCCTGTTTCTCTTTTGATCAGTCATCAAACCCCGGAGCGCATAGCACCAACCCATGGTATACCCAGTTGATATCCCCTCCACTCATTTCCCATCCCCAGCCCTGAGCCATGTTAGCACCCGAATCAATCGTCTTTTGGAGGATCTTGGTAAGACTTATCCCCAGTCGTTAGGGGGTTGCCAATCTCGCCATTCCTGGAGAGATGGCAACCAGGACTGCCGTCCATAGGCCTGCCCTTTTTTATCCAACGAATGCCGAGGCCCATGGGTTCAGGGAATAGGCAAGTAATGTAGGTCTTCCACGATCCCGGACAAGCACAAAACTTTGACTCCAACACGAGATGGGTCCCGGCATCGCTTCAGACCTGTTCAGCCAGTCTATCCCTCTCGCCCAGAGCCTTTGCGTGGTTCGCCCGAGTTGTCTCCCGCTCACGAGCCACAACCTTCACTTACACAGCCACCCGGAGTTCGGCGAATTGGATCCCAGTCTGTGTACTCTCAGGCATTCGGCGGAAGCTCTCTCCGTTTGAATCGCACGACCTCCTTGAACTAGTTTTTGTTTCCTCTCCGTGCTCGAAACGCAATGGAGGGCATTCCGCGCGGACAAAAGACATCCATGAAAAACCGCGCTCTCATCCGGTGCGTCTTGCTAGAGCAACATTACCGGGCATGTGTTGGGTCCCGGCGGGATCAACGTGGACTTGGCGTCCTCCGGTGCCGTGGGACAGAACCCACGACTGGAGGCTGATGCGCCTGGCCAGATCACATGCGGACATGTCACATCCGTGGCAATTGCCGTGGGTGTGGCTCGGAGAGAAGCCGACTGGCTGCTGAGTCTGATGCTGGCAACTTCTTGGCTGCTGAGTGAGTCCCGGGGTGGTGTACTGAACAAGTGGGTGCCGAGAGCTGAGCGTGGCGATGAGATTCGTCAGATCGAAAAGTTTCTGTTCGTAGGCCTGGAAACATCGCAGTACTTTCGTACGACCGGCGAGTGGAGTCCAAGGCTGGTTGTAGGTAGGTTGAAACTTCAATGTTGACCGTTCGTGGCAAACGCAATGCTCCTTCCGCTTGGCCGTAGCAACACCCCAAGACAACAGCTTGTTGCCAGCTCGACCCTGCAAGCCAAGTCTGCCATCTTCTCCGGGCGACCTATTCTTGGCCAGAGTTCTGGTTCCAGCGGATAGGTCCTGACGAGTGGCCTCAGACCAGAGGCTCTTACCCATACGACTCATAGTAACCCCCTTTCGCGCACCAAACGGTGACTGGAATGTGTTCCCTGCCAGTCCATCCACCGCGACCCTCGAGTGCGTTACCGCTTTTCAGCGGCGTAGCATCGAGGAGCAGGGCGGATTTAAAAGACAGATTCGACGACTGCGGGCGCAAAACTTGAACCAAAAGGATACTTAGGGTTAAGTTCCGAAGCTCATTCTCTCAGCTGGACTGAATTGTCTGGTATAGACAACCATAGGCCATGATGATTCCATCCGCGGCAAGCTCAATTTCCTGATTCAGGTAGAGATGCGACGCATCACGGGGTGTCAGCCCTGGCTGAGAGGTCTACGATAGACATTCCGAGGAAAATGAGAGTCGGAGAACTGATGGAGAGGTGTCGTGCGAAGGCGAGCCCTTATCCAGTTGCAGTGGATGTTGGGCGAGAGAACTTCCTTTCGCCGACTGCGACGAGGCGCACGCAGCTGTTTTCCAAGGTCGTATCTCGAATTATTCTCCGGTGGAAGCTGCGTATCCGGTGGTGATTCTTGCTGTTGAAGACGCGTCAAGCTGGCTTTTCAGCAGGTGTTGAGGAGAAACCAAGCTGCAAAAGTGAGGTGAAATCCAAGGTCACGCTGGGTGCCAGACGCAGGGGAAGGAGCACTGACACGACGCGTAAGGTGTAGTCGCGCACGCGCAGACACGTGACACTTGGAATTGACTGGCAGTGCAAATATCCTACACACTGTATGCACCTTGCTGGCTCCCGAAGCTGAATTACTAAAGCAAGTGTAAATCCAATATCTTCAACTCTGCATCCAGTAAAGATGGAACCAAACACACCTGAAAAGGATCCTCGCTCCAAATTAGCCGACGAAATTCTCAGCACCGGTAAGCGGGCGTTTGATCCGTCGTCCGACGCTGCTTCTCGAACAGCCGCCCAAGAAGAATTTCAAAAGCTCATCGACGGGTACGTGGGTGCAGTGAGGCCCCATGTCAGGCGAAACCTTCTGACGAGGGACTAGGAATGGCTCTTGGAACTTACTGCCTGTCTTGAACGCCTTGATCAAGCCGAAAATTGCGCCAGAATGGCTACGACCAGAGCTGATGAAGATACTGACCCTGGTTCCTCTCCGACCTGACGGCGTGAGAGGAACCATGGAGTTCATCTTCTCAGTGCACCCGAGCAGCACCCTTAAAGCATCCGAGGCAGCCACTCCTCAGAAAAGAGGCGCCAATATCACCCAGGAAGCCATGGCCGTTGTCACCCGTATTCTCACCTCCCCACCAGCAACTGTATCGCCTGAAGATTGGTTCTCAAATGTTGCGCCCCAGTTGATCGTGCTGCTGGATGGAAATGAAGGCGCAGAACTTAGTGTAGCAGCGGCACAGATTATCATGTTTGGGGTACTGGGCAGGAAACAGTTTGGCGCACCAGGTAGTAACCTTGCCTTCATCCAGAGGCTAGAAGCCATGCTGACGCTGCTTCAGGAACACCTGGCTGGAATGTCTTTGTTGAGCCTCTGTTGCGCAACTTGGATCCATCTCGCAAAAGCAACAATGTTGCGCCGCACATCAAAACCGAAGAAACCGAGATTGTTGATTTGAGTGAAAAGGCCGTCCTGGTCAATGCCGACGACCTCTTCATCACATTGCGCCGCATGTCGTCGATGATAAACTCCACACCGTACCCAGCACAGACCAAAAGAATGCTTGACCCAGTTCTCGCACAGCTATGGGCTATATCGTGTCAGAGCAAGGGCAACAAAAGAACCGAGGACCGATATTCGAAGCCATCGAGATCATTGCTCCACACATTCTTGAAACTGAGCGTTTCGGTGTCGAAGTTACATGAGGTCGTCGAAAACCTGCTTTATCAAGGAGAGTATACCAAAATGCCACAGTGGCGATATCAATCGACTTCTGACGGTGATCTTCAAATTTGTGCCATCCCGCTGGGCCAGGGATCACAAGCCCCAGAGCTAGACTGGACTGAGATCCAGACACGCTCCGAGGCTCTCATACGTCTTTTGACGGCGAGTAGCACACCCGAAGAAACATCGACCTTCTTTCTGGAACTCCTTGGCCGGTGGTTTCAATCAACGGTCACAACCCAAAAGCCAGAAATTCTCACCAAAGCGGAAGACAGCCAGGCTCAGGGTGATATCAAGCAACTTCTCGAGATCACAATCTTGCAGAAGATGCTAGAACAAATCCCAGACAAGCTGATCAGCCGCGTGACGCAAGTTACTGAGCTGGTGGCTCAGATTCTGGATCCCAGCGGCCTCCAGGACCAGTCTGACGACATCATCGCGGTTGCTTTAAGCTTGTTCAACTTAGTCATCACAGCCCCAAGCTTCAAAAAGTCAAACCTGAAGACTGAAGTTCTACAAGCTCTTGAAACGTCCCTTGCTAAACTTGGCGCAGCGGGACGCCCTGAAGTTTCTCCTACGGCGAAAAACCTCACGCTGTTGCTAAGATACCGTGAGGCTATCGATCCCACAGAAGAGGGCGCTTTTGTGCCTGCCGATAAGCAGATTGAGGACAGGCGAACGTACAAGCTTGCGCTGGAGTACATTACGCAAGCAGATAATCCTCCCCCAATCCGTTCCGAGGGAATCAACTTGATATCGGGCCTAGTGGCCTCTGAAAGTTCTGTCTTGGACGTGCAAGCCACCCTCGTTCTCCTTTCGTCTCTACTTCAAGACAGCGAAGACTTTATCAATCTCCGGGTTGTGAAGCTTCTGACCCAACTGGCGAACAAACACCCCAAAGCAACTACACAGGAGATCCTTGAGCATTACCTGGACTCGAAGGAAACCTCGTCAACGGATGTCCGCTTACGCTTCGGAGAGGCCTTGGTTCAAGTGATTGAGCGCCTCGGCGAGACTTTTGCCGGTGACGTTGCGAGGCGTGTGTCTGAAACATTGCTGTCGATCGCTGGAAGGCGAGGTCATCGACCAAAGACGGAGGCAAAGCAGTCCCGGGAGAAACGCCTGCAGGACATGAAGAAGAAACAGGCGGAAGATGCGTGGGGAGGGGATGTTCCAGATCTCAGTGATGATCTGACCGAAGAAGAGTTGGCCAAGAATGAAATATTGACCCAGATTGTTGAGGGGTGGGAGAGCAAGAGAGGCAGCGAAGACGTCCGCATGCGAGCATCTGCTCTTTCGATCTTCTCCGTCGGATTCGAAACCAATATTGCGGGCATTGGGCCTGACCTCGTGTCCATCGCAGTGGACCTCTGCATCAATGTGCTGGCGCTGGAGCGGGAAATCGAAAAAGGCATCATCCGGCGTGCAGCCATCTTGGTTGTTCTAGGCTTCGTCAAGGCCCTTGATGCTGCCAAAGAATCAGGTAGGAGGCTCGGTTTCGGATTGACCGACCAGAGCCGGGAGGACATTACGAGGACTCTGAAGTACGTTGCAGTGACGGACAATGACGGTCTTGTCCAGCAGCACGCCCGAGATGTGATTGAGAGTTTGGAGAATTGGCAACTGTCTTCCATGGTTGCTCCAGGATACAACACGGGAGAACCAAGCATTGGGAGACTGGCAGGCTTGACCATCGACCAAGACCGATCACTCCCTTCTGTCAATACGAAGCGTCCTAGGATAGAAGAGATTGAGTAGTTTAGTCAGCGAACCCGTAACTTGCCTCCTAATTGAGCACAAAAGGAAATTAGATACTGGAAATTCTGCTGGCTGGTCTTATTTCCAACTAGCTAAGAACCTCATTAAAGGGCTCAACGAAGAAAGCGATCCGGGCTAAGCAGAACGGCCAGACTCGTAGGACCGGACACCCGACTTCAAGAGATCTCATAGGAGCATAAGATACGTATATGTACATCACGTGATATCGCGTTATCCAAAAGATGTATCCCGACATAACGATAGCACTTTAGCATGTTGAGGGGAATGTGTTCATGTACACAACAGTACCTTTCATAATTCGCCCCCGAGCTAGGCGCGTGCCTCGACCCTCCCCACGTCGCGATCTTCTCGCCACACCGCGACAATGGCTCCGGCCCGAATCATCGCGGACTCGGATGATTCCGACGACGATTTCGAATCACCAAATAGTCCCTCGAAACCTACTACGACCTCCGCCATACCGAGTCAAGGCCGCTCCTCCGACCCCGTTAGTGTCGCGACCAACTCTACCGACCCCAAGTTCTTCCAGGCGATCTATACCGAGCAACAACAACGTGCACCAGTAGCCAGCGACACATTGCGAAAACCAGACGAATCTTCCGCATCCAACGGTGCAGCGCCCAGCTCTATATCAGCTATGCCACCACAGGACAGGCCGCAATTGGAGAGGAACGACACCGGTACCTCCTCGCTCACCTCCGCCAGCGATCTTATTGCGGGGTTGGACAGCGCCGAGGAAAGGGAGCCAGAGGCGGTGGACCTTACGGAAGTCACAGCGTCGCCCAAGATGACTGTTGCCCGTGCGACTCCCGACGACATGTGGGATGTTCCCAGCAGCCCCGTTGGGAGCGGTCGAGCGCCTCTCGCCAGCCTCGCGAAGAGCAGAACCTCAACCAGCGGGACAAAAAGAAAGCGGGTGAACAACGTGGAGTTCACGTCTCCGGTGGCTATCGATATGCCTTCGCAGGGTTCCACGCAGCCGTTCGACACAACCCCGGCCGCCGCGAGGACGGAGAATGGGAAAAGGGCCAGACTCCGGAACCCGGACTCGTCATTACCGGCCGAGGAAGACGACGTTGACATGGTGGTGGTTCCACACGCAGCCACGGTACCGTCGTTTGGCGATCTCGTCTCTGGCCAAAAGCCTGTTTCGATGTACATCGAGTCTCAAACACTGAGCGCAAGCCAAAAGTTGGAATATGAATACCACTCAGTTGGCCCGTCTCCGGAGGATCCAGCGCCTACACCTACGCAGCCGTTTTTGACCATGCAAGCTGCGGCCAGGTCAAGCGGGGCCACGACTATCGCATACTCCACGCCGAGCCAGACGAGAGTGATTGGCTTGCCTCCAGCACCTGCCGAAGGCCATGTCACACTAGACACGGTTCACGAGCAGACTCAGCAAGGTTTCGGGGCACTAGTCGATCCAGAGGCAACAATAGAGATACAATCATCCCCGGATATCATATCTGCAGCATCGGTCCGTCGGAAAAGAAGGAACGTGAGGGACGAGCCACCACAAGCGACAGAGTCTCACCGGGAAGACGAAGGCTGGGATTCCGACGACATTGGTTTTCATCGAGAATCGTACAAGCCTCGTCTCAGTCGACGCAGAGGTAGTGACGCTAGCCGACAGGACGAGGCTGAGATGCCAGGGAAGATTGAGATTCCCGTGGCCGATATGGGCCCGGCCGCGCAATTACCCCTCGTGGAGCCCGCTTCCCTAAAAGAGCCCGCTTCAACGAGTACGACGAAGCCGAAAAAGAGAGGACGGCCGAGAAAGTCAGATACGGCTACATCAGAGAGCCCAGCACCAGCCGAGACCGCAACTACGCCACAGATTATCGATACAAGCGAGACCGTGAAGAATGCTGCCGCAGGAACAGAGGCCGCGACGGCAGCCACACCGACGACCACCACCAAGAAGAAGCGCGGGCGGCCAAAGAAGGCAGACAACAACGCATCAGAAAGCGTGCAGCAAGCGACTGAGAAGCCACATGCACCTGAAGTGGAGCATGCGGGTGACGCCCCATCAGGCAAGGCGGCAAAGCGCTCCAAGGGCCGCGGCGAGCACGTCGATGCGCAGCAGCAGGAAGGTTGCACAGCAGATGCGGGCAGCGGGCCCCGAGAACAGGGCGGCAGCGATCGGGTGCTGCAGCCAGTGACGCCTAATGCGGCGCTCAGCAAGTCTGGTTCCGACGGACTGGGACCGCAACAGAGCGCGGCAGCAGAGGGGAAAGTAGCGGCGACGAAAGAGATTCCTGCGCAGGCGGATGGCGACAAGCCTGGGGCGGCGGGGAGAGCAGAGGGAAAGCAGAGGTTGTCGACGCCTGCGTCTTCGTCGGCGACGAAGCCCATCTATCGGGTGGGACTGAGCAAGAGGTCGAGGATTGCGCCGTTGCTCAAGTCGCTCAAAAAGTGACGTGCCGGGTTATCGAAGTTCTGCAGGGGAATTCGATGGACGGCGCCATGGTCTGTGACATTTTTACCTCATTTTCTCACGAGATACCCAATGACATGGGCAACAGGCGTTAGCGGACAAGCGATATAAGGCATATTCGGGCGGTATCTGGATTATACGTAGTACCTTATGCTTCATGTTTCGGGGGTATTCGTCTAGGTCAATTAGGCCGATTGGCTATTTTATCGGGTGATGCGGCACGCATCCATAGTCCACATTCGCAGTCGAGTTCTAAACAGTGAGACACGATGTCTTGGGGTATCACATTACGAAACAATGATAATGCCCTTGGGCGGTTCCAAAGGCCTCACCAAATTTTGTTCCCGCAAATTCAAGTTGGCAATACGTGTGGCTTGGAATCCAGCTGAGTCATATTGAAGGAATGGGAAGCAATGGCACCATCAGCCGCCGTGCAGCAGCGCGATGGTTCTATCGACTTTTGACATGCCACGAGCCCCATTGGGAAAGAGGGGTGATGGAGGGGTAGTCACTTGGGATTCTGCTGGACAGTCGGCGGCCATACACTGTTGCATGTCTGAGGTGGTTTGCGGCACGACTGAATGGATTCTGCGGCGCCCACGAATTACCTCTGAGGGGGGTTTTTGAAGGTTCCATTCCGCTTGAAGGATGAGCAAAACGCAGAGAACAGTACGTAGTAGTGACGGCCAGGGTTGAAGTTGATGTTGGATGTTCAGGAGCACGCACGGTCAGCGGTCGGTCCCCTGTCGATGAAAAGATGAAGGCGCCATCTGGAAGGAAACGGCAGGGCAGTCATTGGCCAATGAGACTGCGCGATTTGAGCATTCCAGAACCCACCAATCCCGGCCCCTTGGCGTCCCGTCATCATTGAATTATGTCAGTTTTCTATGTACCTTAGGTACCTACCTTACTAGGTACAGCACACCGTCCAAGGTGTGAGGTGGACATGGGCAACCCCGCGCCGCCTTTGGCACTCTTCATTTTTGGTGCGGGGCAAATTTTTCACATTGGACTCAGTCACTGAGAGAGAGAGAGAGAGAGAGAGAGGAGGGGCAGGGGCTGACGCTGTCACACAGTCACAGTGAACTCGGAGGAGGAACGGGACCGCCCACAACACCGGGCCACCTTTGAGGGGTGACCGACTCGTCGAGACCGACTTTCGGCCGCTTGTCGTCCAGGTCGTTGCTACCGCAGTGCCGCTGGTGTGTGTGTGTGACTCGCCCTCTCTCTTTTTTTTTTTCTCTTGCCCTTTTCGTCCGAATGCTTCCACGATCTCAACGCCATCCTCTTTTCTCTCTATTCCTCTAAACCAAAGAGATCTTGCATTTTTCGGCAGACAAGAGACGAGCTTCTCTTGCCGTCTTCTTCCCTCTCTCCCCCTCTTTTCTGTGCTGCCATTGGGCTTCTCCCCCGCCCCCCATCTTTCATTCTGCCCATTCCACCTCAAACTCCCCCTCCTTCACCGCATACCGCACATCGCAGACGCGCACGCAGAAGCAGCTATCACCATGGCCACCAACGGTACCAAGGGCGAGACCGCCGCCAACACCACCCACACTACCTCCCAGCGGTATCTCAGCACCCGTGGAGAGGACAGCGGTGTATGATATTTCCCCTTTCTCCCCTCCATCGCCTACGCATACCTCCCCTTCCCCCAAAAGCCAGCTTCACCTCGGCGCGCGCGCGCACCGTTGGATATCATGCTCGAGGCCACGCAGCTGCTGACCGCATACAATTCTAGTTCTCCTTCGAGGAGGTCGTCCTCAAGGGCCTCGCCAGCGACGGCGGCCTGTTCATCCCTGAGCACATCCCCCAGGTCGATGACTGGCAATCCTGGAAGGACCTGGCCTTCCCCGACCTCGCCCACAAGATCCTGTCTCTGTACATCTCTCCCTCCGAGATCCCCTCCGCCGACCTCAAGGGCATCATCGACCGAAGCTATTCCACCTTTAGAGCCCCCGAGACCACTCCCCTCCGCCACCTCAACGACAACCTCTACCTCCTCGAGCTGTTCCACGGCCCCACCTTTGCCTTCAAGGACGTTGCTCTGCAGTTTCTCGGCAACCTGTTTGAGTACTTCTTGGTGCGCAAGAACGAGGGCAAGACAGGAAAGGGTATGCTATGCGCCCCTTCGTCTCCGGAACCTGGCGGGCCGTCACGGCCTCAAAGAGATACCATGCAATGGCAATTGGCACTTGTGGGGACTAGCTAACACGTTGCGCAGACAGACATCATCTGACTGTTGTCGGTGCCACGAGTGGTGACACCGGTTCTGCCGCCATCTACGGTCTGCGAGGCAAGAAGGATGTCTCCGTCTTCATCCTCCACCCCAAGGGTCGCGTGAGCCCCATCCAGGAGGCCCAGATGACTACCGTCCTGGACGAGAACGTCCACAACCTGGCTGTTACTGGTACATTTGACGATTGCCAAGTAAGTCTTTTCTCGCGCGCCTATACAACTCCTTGCCGAACGGCACTCCCTAACCTCGAGTCACCTAGGACATTGTCAAGGCTCTCTTCGCCGATCCCGACATCAACTCCACCCACAACCTCGGTGCCGTCAACTCCATCAACTGGGCGCGTATACTGGCCCAGATCGTCTACTACTTCCACTCCTACTTCTCCCTCGTCAAGTCTTCCGAGACCTTCAACCTCGGCGACAAGGTCCGTTTCGTCGTGCCCACGGGCAACTTTGGCGACATCCTCGCCGGCTACTTTGCCTACCGCATGGGTCTGCCCGTCGACAAGCTCGTCATTGCGACCAACGAGAACGATATCCTGCACAGATTTTGGACGACCGGCAAGTACGAGAAGCAGCCCGCACCCCCCGCGGAAGCCGCCGGCGGCCTGGCCCAAGACGGCGTCAAGGCGCACGAGGACGGCGTCAAGGAGACGCTCAGCCCCGCCATGGACATTCTCGTCTCAAGTAACTTTGAGCGCCTGCTGTGGTTCCTGGCCTACGAGTTCGCCTCTAGCGCGGGAATGGACGACGAGTGGAACAAGAGGCAGGCCGGCCAGGAGGTTTCTTCGTGGCTCAAGGACCTCAAGACAAAGGGTGGCTTCGGCCCCGTCTACCAGGACGTGCTCAACTCGGCCCGCCGCGACTTTGAGAGCGAGCGCGTCAGCGACCCCCAGACCGTCGAGACCATCAAGAGCTACTACAACAAGATTGGCTACGTCCTCGACCCCCACTCCGCCATTGGCGTGTCCGCCTCGGAGCGGTCCATCGGCCGCGCGGGCGCAGAGGTGCCGCACATTTCGCTCTCCACGGCCCACCCGGCCAAGTTTGCCGGCGCCGTCGACCTGGCTCTCAAGGAGGAGGAGGGCTTCGACTTCAAGGCCAAGGTGCTGCCGTCAGAATTCGTCGGCTTGGAGGACAAGGAGAAGAGGGTGACGGAGATTGTCAACGATTGGCAAAAGGTGCGGGAGGTTGTCAGGGCGCAGGTCGACGAGGAGCTCAAGGCTGCCGAGAGCTGAAGATGGAGCTGAAGCGAAAGGGGTTTTTGGAATACCATGAGAGTGTGGGAGCATGTAAAAAACAGCATTAGAAGCATGCAAAAGGTTGTTGGCCTGGCTTCCCTGCAAGACTTTTTTCCCTCTTTTCCACAAGGAAGGGAGATGAAAAGGTTCTGTTGGGAAGGGAAGCCAGAGCACCAAACAAGAGAAGGCGCTTTTTTTTCTTTCCGGAATGGTTTACCTGTGGTTCTGCGATTGGGGGCCTCTCGGTACGGCATTGGTGTCTTGGTTTCCTTCGTCGTGCTCATAGAGGAAGAGGAGGCTTAAGGGACTGGCATGCGTGCGATGATGTCGTCGGATGGCAAAAGGGTTGGGCGGGAGAGGGAAGAGAGATAGAGCAAGAGAGAGGGGCAGTGCATGGGCGTTTGTCTTGGCTCGAAAGCCATTGCCATTCCACCCCCTGAATGTTGTGAACAAATACAAAAGCAAACCAAAGTACTTATGCTCCTATACCACTTTTTGTAGAGTGGCGGAAGCCCCCTTGAGTTACGCAATACTTGTACTTGTTCTGTGATGGATGCTCTTTGCTGGATGACATATCGTGTACTGCGGATATGAGATGGAAGCTGGGGCAAGGTAGATTAAGGTACTAAGGTTTGGATGACCATGATCCGAAGTACTTGTCATCTAAACCGTAACCCCAGAGGCACATGCCGAATGGCCCGGCCCAGTTAAAATGTGACGGCCGGCTGGGCCGAAGCGGCCGGATTACGGCGCTGGGATCCACTTCTCCGATGCACCGCAGGCCCGGCATCCGAGACAAGTCTCTTCTTCCACCGGCACGCCACGGCGAGGTCAGACAACCAACCCGCTCGGAACAGCTAACGATGCAGATGGGTCTCTTAATAAGTCTCAGCAACCTTCAACCGACACAAAACAGCCTCATTCCGATCAACCGGGCTCCCAGGCCCACAAACCACCGTAAAATTATGCCAATCCCTCGTCCCGTCAACGTCTAAACCCTCCACGGTCTCATACCTCTGCGCCATCCTCGCAATCACGTTTCCGATCAACCGGGCTCCCAGGCCCACAAACCACCGTAAAATTATGCCAATCCCTCGTCCCGTCAACGTCTAAACCCTCCACGGTCTCATACCTCTGCGCCATCCTCGCAATCACGTAACCCGCCTCCGTCAGCGCGAGCTGCTGCCCGATACAAATCCTCGGCCCGCCGTTGAACGGCACGAAATGCCACGCCGCGCCCGCGGAACCTCGCTTGGTCTCCCATCTCTCCGGTACAAACTCATCCGCGTCCTCGCCCCAGAGATCTTTGCGCCGGTGGAGCACGTGCGTGCTGAAATTCACTTCCGTACCCGCGGGCACGAAGATCGGCTCGGTGCCGTGGGGGCCGCCGCCGGTGGGGAGGGTCGTGTCGACGAGGGCGCGGCGGGAGTTGAAGGGGACTACGGAGTGGAGGCGGAGGGTCTCGGAGAGGATTGCTTGGAGGTAGGTGCACTGCTTCAGGGACGCGAAGGTCATTGTCTCGGAAGGATCAGTGGAAGAAGAGTAGGGTCCAAAGGTCGACGTGATTTCAGCGCGGAGCTTGGTGAACACGCGCGGGTCGCGAACGAGGCAGTACCAAACCCAACTCATCAGCGAGGCGGTGGTATCCCGTCCCGCAGCAAGCAACCCCAGCACCTGCTCGCGGACTTCCTCGTCCCCGCCCCCGCCGGCGCATCGCTCACGAAGGACATCTAGGAAATCGTACCGCGCGAGGGAGGAACCCTGTGCTTTTGCGCTATCCGAGGCGGCGATGGCGGCGTCGACGAAGGCGTGGAGCGTCGCTACGCAGGAGCGCAGGTCGTTGTTCCCGTGGAGCCAGTAGAAGCTCCGGAGACGCATGCGCGTGCCGAGGACGGCGAGGAGTCTTTCAAAGGCGTGGTTGAAGGCCGTTCCCGGATGGGCGTGGTCGTTGTGCAGGCGGGCGGAGAGGGTGCGTGTGCTTTGGCCTAGGAAGAGTTCTGTTGCGGAGTCGAGGGTGAGGAAGGGGAACAGGGAGGCGAGGCTCACGGGGGCGGACCACGTTCCGTCTGCGGCGTTCACGTTGGTGATGGTTGTTGTGGTAGACTCCTTTTCGATGCAGAGGAACAGCGTCTGGACGTGCGCCTCGAGCAGATCCAGCCTGGAGACGTTATCGCGGCTGAAGAGGGGCCTCATCGTCTCCCTGGCAGAGCGCCACGCCGGTCCGTCGGCCGCGAAGATGCTTCGGCCCAGGACGGTCTTGAGGTTCGTGCTGCGGGCGAGGCCCATGCCGAAGTCGTGGAATTGCGTTCCGAGGAGGGCTTGGATGTTGCGCGGGTCGGCTGTGACGAGGTTTGTCGTGCCGAGGAGGGACATGCGGAAGGTGTAGACGCCGCCGTTGGTGTCGGTGTTGGGTTTTGTGTTGGTGTTGTTGCTGTCGCCGTTGCGGCGGAGGGCCGCGAAGCGCGCGGCGACGTGGTCTGGCGTGCGCTGCTCGCGGTCGGCGCGGAGGGAGGCGAGGACGATGTCCAGTCCGAGGGGCCATTTTGAGGGTTCGAGGGGCGCTGGGTGGCAGGAGAGGGCGCGGGCGCGTCTGGTGTGGGAGATGTTGCGGTGGAGGGTGAGGAGGAGGTGGACGATGAGCAGGAGGAGGGGGATGAGGATGTAGAGCGGGATGTTGTGAAGATGATGGAGTTTGAGACTTGAGAATCGGGACATGGTTGGGAAGGAGAACGTTTGAGATGCCATGTTACGGTAAGTTTCTCTCTGGGGTATGCTGAATGCTTCAGTTGAGAGACGAACAATTGGTCTCTTACAGGCACGAGGACTTGTGATGCTATCATTGTCATCACCATCACAAGACTTCAGCTTCACGATGGTTGCTAGCCATCTTGATGAGAAGCGTGTAAGAAGACCCCTCCACGTTTAGCGTCTGCGCAGTTATTGGTCAAACCGTCAATATCACTCAACGTCACTGATTTCGATCGACCCTTTAGCCAACGTGCTCTAGAGGGTGCTTGGCATTGGTCCGACAGCTTGAGCTGGTGGAAACGACATGGGAATCTAATCAAAGGCTCCATCGCGAGGTGGAAGACGTCCCTGATCCGAGGACAGGGGACTTTGCAGACGAGAATGAACGGGGGAATGACACATGGGTACCCCCTGGATGCGGTCCGCTGACTCGGACGTCGACCGCTCTGCTGGTAAGTGACAGTTTTGGGGGTCGTTACTACCGGGTCGTTGACTCGCTTTCACGAAGATGGGTTGGTCCAATCATTTGTGATGTGTTTGAAAGAGGATTTTGTCGTTGTTGTTACGTGATGGGCGCTCTGGTTAACATTGGAGTGAAGATTCTTGCAGTAGGTTCAGAACGAAGTGCATGGAGATGATTGTTGACAGAGTCACATCAATGATTGTTTGATGATGGAAAAGTAATCACCCTTGAGTAAGATGTCTGGATAATCAGACTCTACAATATACAACAGCCCGTTCAGAATTCTATAAGTCTGGGAGACTTATCTCGAGCAGCTTTACAAATGCTCAAAACCATCAAACAACTACTCTAGGGCGTAACCTAATCATCAAAGGAGTCTTCTCCCACATGATATACGTTCCTTGCTTACTCCACCAATCTTCAGCAGGATTCTCGAGTTCAAAGTCGAAGTTCCAAATCATCTTTGCCATAGTCAGGCTCATCTCGGCGTACGCCATCCTGAGAGATTGTCAGCATTCACCCTGGTCTAATATCTCTTGGCATCTAATTTTGGGAGGACTCACGCTCTTCCAATACAAATGTGTTGTCCATAGGAGAACGGCTGGACTGCCGCCCAGTCATCATTTGCGAACTCAGAATCAGAGCCAAGCTCAAGCCATCTCTCAGGAATGAACTCTTTAGCCCGGCGGAAGTTATGCTCAGAGTGTCCCGCCGCAAACTGGTTCACCGCAACGGCGTAGCCGCCAGGAACCCATCTGCCATCAATCACCTCGCCCTCCCCCGGAACCCACCGGGGCAGGGAGCCGGGCGTGGGAGGGTACAACCGCATGCCCTCATCAATACACGCGCGAAGGTACCTACAATTCTGCGCAGCAACCATCGTGATCTCCTCCTGCGCTCCAAACTTGCCGCGAATCTCCGCCTTTACCTTTTCGAGCCTCTCCGGGTTGTGAAGCAGCAGGTACGTGAGGCCAGACATGCCGCCGGCCGTGGTGCCGCTACCGGCGACAATGAAGGTGCCCGCCAGCATCGTCAGTTCGATGTTGGTGAGCCTGTTATCTTCCTCCGGGTTATCGAGGATGTAGGACATGAAGTCCTTGCCCGGATTCTTGGCCTCGATGCGCTGTCGGACTTTGGCCTCCGTCATAGCGATGTGCTTGCGGCGGGACTCGGTCACGCGGCGCGGCGCGATCCAGGTGAGGAGGTCGAAGACGCCGTATTGGACTGTTAGCTGGATCCAGACGTAGGCTTTTGCGCGCGTGTTGATGAGGCGGAGCCAGGGCTGGTCGGCGTTGTTGAGGCAATTTTCAGAAGTGCCGAAGGCGAGATCTGCGTGGACAGCTTGTTAAATGGGAAACAGGGCTGATGGATCTTTACGAGGGTTCGAATGTGCTGTGAAGGCAACAGTAACGTACCATTGAGAATGTCGAAAGCGAGAAGATTAAACCAGGTAGAGATGTCCACGGCGCCCTCTTTGCAAACTTTCTTGAGTTGGCTTACGAGAGTATCCGTATAATTCTGAAAGTAGTACTCCTGCTCACGCAACGCGCGCTCAGAAAAGGCCGGGTTAATAGCACGCCTGAGCTTCGCGTGCCCCGTCTGATCCTCCGTCATCAGCGTCTTGCGACCTCCCATGGTCGGCGGCGCGATACCGCGGCCGTCGAGGGCCTTTGGGAACTCGCTGGGCGCGCGCTGTCCGTAAATCTTCTTCCAAGCCGTGGAGCTCGTGTAGGAGAGCTCGTCGGGCGCGATGCGGACGACCGGGCCGTATTGGTCGTGGAGCTCG